AATATATAATAAAAATCTGATTTTCCCAGAAGACATTTCTAGAAAACAGGCATGGAACTTTCATTGCCCCCCCCCCTTTTTAAGAGAAGGTCTACATAGCCTGAAATTTGCTCTCTGAACAGGGCTGACCTTGATCTGTTCCGCCTGTATCTGCCTCCAGAGTGCTGGGATTAAAGTTGTGCGTCACCATGAACAGTGTCGTTTATAAACTGTTTATAAACTGTTTACCTCTTGTATTCAGTCCAACAGCTGGCTTTTTGGTACGACTTTTCCTACAGTAGTGACCCCAGCTTCTTCTCTCTGGGGTTCTTGAGACTGTCTTTTGGTCCTCAGCAGGAAGTCATGTGGACATCAACACAAATGCAGCACCAACCAATTCCCAAACAGTGCCTGATAATGGCACCAGAGGTGAGGCTGCGGGTATTGTCTGGGGCGCCCTCAACTCCAAATGCAAGTGACTAAGTGACACCTCTCTGTCCCACCCTTCTCTCTCCTCAAAGCAGGAGAAACTGTTACCTACAGTCTTCTGCCAACAGTACTGAGGACTCTGCCAACTCCATACAGTGTAGAGCTCAATTACAACTTCTCAGAACCTGGAACCTGACAGAGCAAACACCAAGAGATGCTTCTCATGGTATTTTGTATCAACAAGCTGATAGAACATGAGTGACATTACCAAAATGAGATAAGAAACTCATTGACAAGGAGCTAACGCGGGAGGATTGAGAATGTCCCCTAGTCCCTTTCTTCCAGCTAACCAGTCAGAGCAGTGGGTCATTTCTAACAGTGGATTTTTTGCTTTTGAGACATGCTCCCACACCTAAGGTTGCAGGCAAAAAGACAGGGGGAGACTTGTGAGGAAGCGGGGAGCACCTATCCAGACAGACCTCACCAAAGCATCACAATCTAGAACTCATCAGAGACTAGGGGAGAACTGTACCCTGCATGAGGCTATAAGCATGATAGTCACACTCCATCAAGGAAAGTCCTAGGACAGCCTCAGGTCAAAAGTTGCCATGGTTCATATCCCAGCACCCAAGACAACAAGAATACTTACCTCTTCAGCAAGGTCACATCCCATTCATGATCTGAGGAGACTCTGAGTCGAACCTTCAGTGGTTTGTGGCTGGTGTCTGACCTGCACACTAAGAAAGATATCCTGGACCAGCTGGTGGCAGAGAGTTTATCTAACCTCCATAGCCTCGGGCCTCCATGTCTTCGTCAAGGAGAGTGGAGTGGAAAGCAGCAAAGGGTCCTGCGGAGGAACCATGCTTTGACACAGCCTGGAACCCTCAGAACAAGATGGGCTGGAGTCAGCTGAGCCACTAAGTCCTATAGACCCCCTTGGTCATTCCACTGAAAGACAGGTACTACACAGTGTGTACAAGAAGGGCTTTCTCCGCAAATTGCGGCTCATCATCCACCAGAGGGATCCCTTCAGTGCAGCTGCTGCAATAAGGCGCCTGTGTGGTCCTCACACCTCCAAGATCATCAGCGCGTCCACAGTGAGAAACCACGCAAGCGCGCAAGCGCCGGGTTTGCTGCAGGGCATTCGCCCTTAGACCCATTCTGCTCAGGCACCAGAGGATCCACACAGAGGAGAGGCCATGCAAACGTGAAGACAGCCAGAAGTTAGCCAACACCCACCAACACACATGCCCCGACTGGAGCCCCAACAAGTGTGCAGAGGGGGCCACGCTGTCTGTCAGCAGGGAACTTCTAGATGTTTTGTAAAGGTAAACTAAATTAAAAAAAAAAATGACTTCTGCATTCGGATCTAAGTCCTACACACCCATCTCAGTAGGATTTTTTTTCTCATTGCCCTGATGGCCTTGAGCTCACTTTTCACCACTTACTTAGGATGCCCCTAACCCTGCCTCCACAGATTAAAACCTATGCCACCATGCTTTTTCACTATTTGGCTCATGCTGTTTCTTTCCCAATGAACATGAATCTAAAGCTTTTAACCTTTAATAACAAAATTCAGCCTGATCATAGTTCCTATTATCCATTGCTTCATTGCAAAATGGGATTCTCTTTTGGATAAATGAAATGGTCGAGAAGTTGGAAAAAGAATCTCAGGGATGATGGCAGGACTGACTTGCCCTGAGGGTTTCCCCCATAGCCTGAAGATGTTGATGTCCATCCTTGATGACTGCATTATCCCTAAGGCAGGAGTCTACACGGAACCCTCACATGGAGATAGGATCACAGAGATCTAAGCTGTTTCCTAAGGGGCAAATAATCCATTCTCAGGTTATCTATTTGTCCATTTCAGACTAATAATTGGATGGGGAAATGTATATAAAAATCTAGGCCTTGCACGGGATTCTAGTCTTAATTTGTGCTGCTTATACAGCCCAAAAGATTTCCTGTTAGAAATTAAAATGATCCTAGGAACATGAATAAACCTCAAAGTCATTAGGATAAGAGACCAAATACCGAAAAAAAATTAACTTTTAAACTACATATTATATGATTTTATTTGTATGAAATATCCAAAACATTTAATCTATATAAGAAGTGAGGGGCTGGAGAGATGATTCAGAGGTTAAGAGCACTGGCTATTCTTCCAGAGGATCCTGGTTCAATTCCCAGCACCCATGCGGCAGCTCACAACTGTCTGTAACTTCCATTCCAGGGTATCTGACACCCTCACACAGGCATACATTTAGGTTAAACACCAAAGCACATTAAATAAATAAATGAATAGACTTGTGAGTTTGTGGAGCTGAGGGGTAAAAGTACTTGATAACTACAAAGAGGCAAAGAGAACCTTGGAAGTTACAGAAAAGTTTAAAGACTGATCATGATGGTGGTTGCACAACTGAATTATACACTTTAAATAGGTGAAATTTAATATATGTGCATGAAACTTTAGTAAAGTTGTTTTAAAAATAATCTTGGTGAACAATAATAGTATGTACAGGTCACTAGAAAAAAGAATTCAAGTCCTAAACTGGAGAAGAGGAGAAACCGTCATAGATGAGGTAAATATGGTCAAAGTAGAACACGTGGCAAGTACATTATATACATGAATGGAAACATTGTCACAAAACCTATTACTTTATACACTTAATAGATGCTAACGAAAAAAGTAATGCAAGTCCTTCCTAGAGGAACGTGACTTTATAAAGAATTCCCACAGATAAATTTTCAAATAAAATGTCCAACTTTCAGTCAAAAATCACAAACTATACCAGAAAAAAGAGTGTCAGACTTAAAGACAGCAAATCATCACCTAGGAAAGAGCTCGGATAATGTTATCAGTTGACATTCAACAAACAGTAACTAAGTATGTTCACCATGAGTACAACACAAGTGAGATGCTTAGAAATTTGTGTAAAGAGCATAAGGCATTCGGTACAACTGCACATTTTTGGAAGAACACAAGAGATTCCATATTATGTGTGTACATGTATGTACATATAAGTACATACACATGTGTATATGTATATATAATTGAAAGTTTAATAAATTGCTAAAGAAGTAGTTTAAATGCAGTTGAAGATAGACTTATTAAATTGGAAGGCAATTTTAAATAAGTTAGCCGAAAGTCATGGCAAAAAAAGTTTTCAAGGCATGTTTAGTAGAATAAGGCAGATTCTACCAGAGCTCCAGAGACACA